CACCCCAAAGTGAATTTTTATAATTACCCCCAGAAACCGAGCAAAACGTAAGCTCTCAAGGGCCGGCTCAGCAAATGCCAAGGTTAAAACAGAGTTGTATTAAACACCCTGCGAGGAAGCAGGGGATCCGCACGCAAGGGGCCCCTGCCCCACAATGCCCGCCTGCTCCCAACCCTGCAGCCAGAGCGGAGAGCAGTGAGGATGCCCACCTGGCCTCCCTCGGCAGGGAGTTCCACAGGCCCTCCCTGAGAGAAAGGTTTCGCCTTCTTTTCCCTGAGGACCCCTCGTTCCCTTGTCTCAGATATGTCCCCCACCACAAGACAGCTGGCCCAAGGGGAGACCAAGGACGTCCCGAGGCACCGTGGGACCCACACAGGTGGGAAGAGCCCAGGCCCTCAAGCCAGGACAGTCCTCCGGCCACCAAATGACCGGGACTGACCCTCCCTAAACAGATCCAGGAAGTGCGGGCACTGCGATAGGACAATGGGGCCGGGAGGAGGGGCCGCTGCAGCCCCAGCCTCGTCCAAAGCACCCCAGTGCCGACCGCCTCCGTGCAGGCACGAGGTGCTCCCGGTCCATCCTCTGTAGTCTGATGGGATTCTGCAGCAAAAACCTCTTCCCGCCGTCACACACACACACCCCGCCCCCCGCCTACCTCCCAGTGTCTCTCCCGACGCCCCAGACGCGGATGGCCCCGATCGGCTGGCTGTGCAGCACCGTCCGCTCCTCCGGGTCCAGCAGCGTCAGAGCCTCCTTTTCTAGGACCAGCAGCATGGGCTTGCCCTGTGGGTTCGGAGGAGGGCAGAGTCAAGAGGGGGGGCGGGGGTTGTCCCATAGATGAGCAGCAGGATCAGCCTGCCCACCCCCATCCCCACCCCAGGGCGGCTACGCTCCCTCTGGCACTCTCCGGGGCCCACCTCCCATTCTGTCCGGGGGTCCCTGGAGGTCTCACGGCGGAGAGCCAAAGGCCGAGACCTCCCACCTCTCCCACCCCGGGGGGGGCTCCTGTACCTAGAAGCATCCCAGAGGCAGCCCCCCATTCCTCCCCTTTTCCCAGCTGGGGGTCCCCGGCCTTCCTATACTCGCCTACCCCCACCTCGACTCACCTCTCCCCAGGAGCCACCCAGGGGGGGCCGGTTGTGGCCCGAGAGCTGCCGGATGCAGTTGCTGACCGCTAGGCTGCTCCGGCCCAGGGCCAGATCCTCCTCCGCCACCTCCACCCAGCCCAGGGAGCGCACCAGGAAGCTCTGCCAGAGGAAAAGGGGCAGGA